CTGGGGTTTTAAACTGCTCTTTACCTTTTGCCTCACTGGATGTGCTGCTTGAGCATTCCCACAAAACATCACTCATGAACAATTTAATCCGCCTTACACTGAATCAGACCATTGTCTATTCTGACTGGCAACAGCTCTCCAAGGTCTCTTAGTTAGATGTCTTCACACTAGCTGGTCCTTCTAACTGGAGATGCTGGGGATTGAACCTGGGACCTTCTATATGCCAAGCAGATACTCCGTCACTCAGCCCTTCCCCTGATAGGCAGGGGTGTCCTTAAGAGTATGAAGCAGCCAAAAGGTGATTGTGGTGAAATAAGCATATCTAACCAGGCTAATCTCGTGTGTATTTGTGATGCTGCAGCTGGCTGATGTTGTAGACAATGAAGCAATGCAAGTCTACATGAAAACCCCTGCCCATGAAGAAGCAAAGGCTACATCAAAGGGATTTGTGGTGAGAGACGCCCCTTGGGCAGCTGGCAACACTGAGAAGGTCAGTGCTATCTCCTCCCTAGTTACCCTGGTGTACTATCACGTTAGCCAAGGTTCATGCTGTTCTGTGGATGCTCTAAGATCAGTCCTTCATTGATGAACGTGGGAGTCCGTCCTCTCTGAGCACTTACCATACTGTCCTGTTAAGGCAGGGTGATGTGCGAATCAGAGAAAATACTTACCGTGTAGGCTATATCTGTTATGCTCCCATAGTTACCCTTATTTGCACTGCATCTTTTGGAACAACTCGTCTGGGGTTTCTCTCCCTTTGACTCTTAAGGAATCGAAATTATGCTGGTGAACGTGCCTTGCTTTTTCAAGAGAGGTGTGCTCTGCCTTTGTATGTTTGTTCTCCTTTCCTCCTTCCAGTTAGGAACACCAGGCATTGTTAATTGTTATGGACGCTGATGAGTTTCCTACATGATGTAGAATCATGCAAACCCCCATCAGCTTGCCTTTCGTTAGGTACTACTTAAAGATAAGTTCCCACACCTTTGACTTAGGGCAAGCTTCACCAGCATGCAAGGCAAGCATTACATTCCACAGATTCTTCTCCAACTTACCTAGCGCTGCTGCAGAATCACGCGGCAGGTGGTGGACAGGCTGGCCAGCCAGTCAAGGTTCTGCCTGCTTTTCCTCCTCTGAGTTACGTGCATCAGACTGAAGTCTCCAACATGCTGAAATTTATCACCATGTACTGGGCACCACAGACACTGTGCATCCAAGGCACGAGTAGGCAGAGGAGGCGGAAGGATGTGGAAGTACGGAGAACCTTCCTGTCTCTTGGCCTGTGCTGCCACCAAATGACCGCACAATGGGGGGGTGGGGTCTAAGCACTCATGGGGAGCACAATAGGTGCTTGGAACTGGGCTCATAGTCACCACAGCTGTTTGCTGAGGAGCTGGAGGGGAGCTCTTCCATCACTAGCTCTGCTGGAGGACTCTGGATTCTAATCCTGTTTCTGCCTTCAAAAGCATGCATCTTTCACATTTGATACAATTTCCTACTGGTAACCCATTCTTTACTTTTTTGGGCAACATTTCTTTTAAAATACTGTTGTGGAAGGGTTGCTTTATTACTACCAAGCAGTAGTTATAATCCTTAAATCTCTCCATAGAGTGTTTGCGTTAGCACAATAATGAGCCACCTACTACGCCGACAGTCTGCCATTGCTGTTGCTGATCATTTCACTTCTTATACATGTCAATGTTATGCCGTGTTCTCCCAAGTCTAGCACTTACGCCAGTGATGGCTTTTTCTTTCGTTCTTTTTGTGCCTGCAGGCCCCTGACATGACCAGTTCTGAAGATTTCCCTAGTTTTGGAGCTCAGGTGGCCCCCAAGACTCTCCCTTGGGGTCCCAAGCGGTAATGACTTGGAAACAACTTGTCCAGCCACCTGCCTCAAGATGCCCTTTCTGAATTCTGACCTAGTGGCTGGATCTAGTACAGATTGCCCATTGGGGGGGGGGGGGGTCTCTTAATGAAACTAGAGTGCTTACCCCTTCTGAGATTCTGTTGTTTCTGTGCTTCAGCCCTAATGATGCTTCATTTTGACTTTTTCTTTCCTCATCTTGGGGGGGAAAAAACTTTCCATGTTAATTCCAAACCGAGTGCATACATTTTTTCTTTGGAATTCCAGCCTCTCACTTTCATGTTGGCCATAGTAAAAAAACCCCAGCCTTCCAGGTACATCTCGCAAAGCACTCTAGCATCCATTAGGAGATCTCCTTACTGTGGCTAGGAATCTACTTCCTGTCTCACAACCTCAGGAAACACATTTCCTTGATTTTCTACAAAGCCAAAATATTTGCTCTTTTCCCCTCCTTGTCCTGTTTCTCCAAGGCCTTACCTTTGTAGAGTGCAATCAACTTTCCCTTTCAACTGCCAAAAAACCTCCCAAACCCATACCCAACCTAACACTGCTATTGAACAAGAGTGGAAATTGGCTGGCCTGGATGAATGAAGGAAGTACGTCCTGGAGTTGGAGGAACCCAGGAAGCAACACAAGGGCCAGGCCCTGGCTTTGCTCCTCTGCCATGCCAAGTGTACCAAAACTCTCTCCCCCTCTTGGTTATGAGTATTGATTTTGCAGCTCATTACCAGTATTCCCTCATCACTTTTCCGTTCTTCCGTTCCAGCAGTACTATGGCTTAATGGAGCCAGAAAACTGACAGTATTATTGGGTCTAACAGAACTTGGTTCAGCCAAAAGTGCCATGGTAACATGCTACAGAAGCTGGTGGGTGACTGTGCAGTGTTGGGAAAGGGTGCGTTGCCCCCTTTCCAGGCTTGACATAGTGATGGCATTTAAGTCCCCAGGGGGTCGGGGTGTGTGTCCTTTTTGCTTTTTTTCTATTGCCTTCTTTCTACCTCAAGCCAGTATGACAGTGGCCTGCTTTTTCAGACAGCCCCTCTTGCTTCCTTTCGTCATGACTGTTGTTCCTCTACGAGCAGAGGAATGTGTGTGTGGGGCTTCCACGAGGCTACATGGTAACAAAGCTTTCCCTTCTACAAGGACAGTCTTAACTGCTGCCATTGAATTTGACCTGTAGTCTTGTGACAAAGGTAGGGAAGGAACAGCACTCTCTTAACTGAATGTGGTTTAGTCTTAAATATGAAGCCTCTCTTGCCGGGGAGGACAGAGTACCTACATTCAGCAAAAAAGCTGCCGATAGTTTGACAGTGTTTATCTCAGACAACCGTAGTTCCTGTATCCTAAGCTGCTGCTGCCATAAATGGGTACCTGGCTGCTTGTATTTGAAGCTGCTCTTCCAGCTGTTACAAGGTATATGTCTCTTTTCTGCAGAAGGTGCTGGAGGCAGCGCCGGCTCCTCCACCAGTTCTGCCTACCACATCCCCACCCCTCCTTTGCCAGGAGCTTCTCTGAGCCATGAGCTGGGACCCTGGCCCCAGGGTCACTTATTCCTGTACCACGTACTGGCTAAAAGTCTGCAAAGTTCTTGTCTTCCCAGACCACTTTCCCACTAAGAAGATAGAAAGCATCTCGCTTTCAGCAATCCCAAGTGAAAGGGGAGAGATTACTTCTCTGTAGTAATTCCACTTTGGAGAAGAGCAGGACAAGCCCCTCTCACCATCTGAGCAGGAGACTGAAACAGGGTAGTAGTGTTTAATGTCTTGCCAGTGGTACCTGGTGTCTGAATGTCCCATATCACTCGCACACGTTAGCCTTGAACTGCTATTGAGCATGGCCCCCGCCCCTGCTGCCTGTTCCAAACTGTTGTGCCCAGTACTTCCCACCCCCTCTCCCTCCTGTAGTCTGCAGCAGATGCTCTGTGGAGTTGTCCTCCATGCCCTCTTAATGTCTTCCATATTATGTTTCCATGGCAATGATCCCTTGGCCTTAACTTTGGAATTTGGAGATTATATGCAAAACATGTATAAAGGCTCTTGAGTATGGATGACACTGGAATTTTATAAATTCTAAAAAATAAAATAAAATCTGAAACAGGTTTTGAGTATTTGCTTTTATTTTCTTCTATATTAACTTTTAAAACAAATCACTCCAGGTCATGGTCCGTACCTGACTTTCCAATGAAGTTCTGAACAGCTGTTTATTCTAAGTAAGTTCTTCTAGACTTGCTTCTCCCCCCCCCCCCTTCAGATTGAATGCATGACAGCGTCTGTCCAGGAATACCATTCAAGCATGATTAAGATCAAAGTCTCTTGGCTTTTAGCATGGTGCTTAAGTATGTGGAGAAATAGAAGGTAATTATCAGGGTCACATATTGCTTCAGTAGGAGAGATGGGCGATCAGACTTTTTGGGTAGAGGAACATCAGGGGCAGTTAGGCACTTGGATTAAGCTGGTTATCAGATGCAAGGATGACTGTGCACTTGCCAATCAAGCTGGTAATCAGCCCTGCTACAGCCTAATTCCTTGGCTCAGCTCCAGCATAGGCTGAGAAGGAGGGAAGCAGCTCTTATTCTCACATTAAGCCGCATGTCCTGGAGTGCACTTCGCAGAATCCTCTTTCACCTGTGGGAAGTCTCTTTATGGATCCCGTCACCTGACCCCAGTATTACACTTTAGCCCCTCCCTTCACTAATAATGAAGAGTGGAGAACAGTACTGGTCAATCCTCACTCCTAAGAGTTCAGGACTTTACACACAGTGATTTCTGTAACTACCTTTGTTCAGGCTCCTGCGAGGAGGGCAACCGACAGCTCATCCCCTCATGCAGCAAAGCCAAAACCTGAGCTGTTGGGATCGATCAATCAGTCCATGTCTTGTAAATGCTACTGCTGTAATACTTTATGCCCAGCTGCAGTGATAAGTGGGCACTGGCAGGCAAAAATCCTGAGGCCTTAAAAGGTTTCAAGCACTTAAGTTATGGCAGTTGGAGCCTGTTGAACTCCAAAAACTGCTACATTTGCACGAGCCATCGCAACAGCCTCTGTTTTTCTTTTGGTGACGCCTCCTCCTCCAGTTGTCTGGTGTCTTGGGTCAGGACCAAACAGATTCCAGCATTTTCTCTGGGACTTGATCCTCCCCACTATGGGCCCGGCTGCTGTGTCATGGAGGTTGGCTCTATTGCCTCAACGAGAGCCTGTCCCAAAGAAGAGAAGGACCAGTTAAGGCATTCATAACTTTAACAGTGTCAACATGCTCAGAAAACTGTTAAAATTGTATTCTGAAGTATATTCCAAGCCAAATTCCAATGTATCTAGGGCATAGAAATATCTCTTTCCCCGCCCCACCCCCCAATACCCAAACACCCAGAGCCTGAAAGCAAACTTTCACATGAGGCTGACATAATCTAATAATTGCTAACATTATATCCTGGGTATTTTTGCTACCCCAAGGAAAATCCTCTCTGTGGGTAATGTTACCAAAAGGCGTAGAGAAAAACATCCTGTCTGTTTAATAGAGGCTTAATGTATAGAAATGAGCAACTGAAGGTTTTTATGTCATGGAGGCAAATACCATCGCCTAGTAAATAACACCCTATTAAGCCTCTGTTAAAGGGACAAGACACTTTTCTTCAAGCAGATGGTAACACTACTGGTGAAGAGTGGCTGTATCTCTCTAGACCACTTAAATGCTTGCCTGGATCAGTGTTTTCTGGGGGGAAGAAACTCATGGGGCAGTATTATATTTCAGTAGGGGGGGATACTCAGGTAACAGCACTCCAAAAGGCAAAAACCAAGACTACTGAAGATTAATACCCTAGATGCATTTTTGCTTTCAGAAAGAAAATAAATGGTAAGTGGCTGTACTTTGGGGTCATTGTTCACTAATGCTGACATGACAGGTTCCTAGAATTTCCCCTCTTAGAGCTACTTCTCTATGCATTCTTCCAAAGAAGTGGGATGGGAACTCACCCCCAATGACATTAGCAGGGTTTAATTGTATATCAAAGGTTAGAACCCTGAACTTCTGGCCTGTTACTGCTGTAAACAGTTCCATGAACACTCCACATAATCATAACCACTTTGTGTGTACCTGAAGGTACCTGTTACATTCAGGCTGCTAAAACACATGTAGGGGCTTACTTTTATACATAGAAGTGAAAGCTGAACTGAAGTAGTAGGAGGGCAATGAAGACTGCACTCTGAATAAGCCCCACATCTCCAATTGCTACTTAAACCTTTATACATCTACTTCAGTACAAGGAAGCATTTCCCCAGAAAAAAAATGTAGCATAAACTGAACTTGCGAGCAGTAAAAACTACCTTGTTCTCAGCTAGAGCTTGCTTTGCTAGATACTGTTCTCGCTTCACCTTTATTGCCACTGTTGCTGGGATATCAGGCACCATCATATCTATCAGGCGTGCAATGAAGAAAACAACATGCTAGAGGGAAGAAAGGTGTAAAAGTTTTATATAAACTACAGCAGGTAAGTCCTATAATCTAGAGAGGAGAATGATGTGAACTGTTTTGGGCCCCCACTGGGGAGAAAGGTGAGAATAAATTCTCATCTGAAACAATAGCCAAAATTCCATACTTTGTGTTTTGGGGTACTTTTGGTTGGAAACCAAAGAGAATTTTGGACACTTATGGAAATATCAAAGGCACATCTCTCTTATAAATGAAGAAAGAAGAGATTGAATTTATAACCCGCCCTTCACTACCCGACAAGAGTCTCAGAGCTGCTTACAATCTCTTTTCTCTTTCCCCAACAGACACACTGAGAGGGCTCTTTCGAGAACTGCTCCAAAAGAACTTGTGACTGGGGAATCAAACCCAGTTCTCCCAGATTAGAGTCCATACTCCTAACCACTACACCAAACTGGAAATAGGGGAGGCCTGTTGCATCTTATGTATAAAGATATGTGGCCTTGTCTCAGGCACAGAGATACCTAGACTGTTACTTTATTCAGTTTTCTAGATCATACAGAAGTCCCCTATAGATCGGGATATCATTGCTAACAGTTTGAGAATTGACCTCTTTACATGCAGCGGTTGAGACAAAGATGCTGCAGGGCACATCATACTGCGATTATACTGAACAAGTCAAACCACATGGGTGAAATGTTAGGCTATGTGAATACTATTTCTCCTAGCTGGGGAGAGAATTTTCTTAGTAGCCAAAACATACATTCTTTTGTTCAATGCAAGCTGTATGTCATTGTATACAAACAAACCTAGGTAATATACTGGATTATTATAGTGCATAAACTAGTGGCCTGATTCTTAAGTAGATGAAGTCAAGAACCATAAAGGTAAGTTAGAAAACAAATAGGGGGCCAATGGCTAAAACTTAAATATAGAATATAATCAAAAATACATGTATTTATTGCCAAGACATTTAAAAACATACAGGGGCCCAAATCAAGCCTCATAACATAGTTGAAGTGACGCACAAGTGGAAATACTTATGACCTAATGCATTTCAGCCCAATAGGGCCTTCCTCAGAGGTCAAACACTAAAAGGTACATAGGTAAAGGTAAAGGTTCCCTTGCTCGAAAGCCAGTCAAATCCGACTCTAGGGTTGCGGTGCTCATCTCCGTTTCAAAGCCGAAGAGCCAGCGCTGTCCGAAGACGTTTCCGTGGTCATGTGGCCGGCATGACTAAACACCAAGGCGCACGGAACGCTGTTACCTTCCCACCAAAGTGGTACCTATTTATCTACTTGCAATTTCTTGCTTTCGAACTGCTAGGTTGGCAGGAGCTGGAACTAGAGACAGGAGCTCACCCTGTCTTGCGGCACCCGGGTCTTGAACCGCTGAACTACTGACCTTCCACAGCCTGCAATTCAGCGTCTTAACCACTTGAGCCACCGCAGCTCTATAATGAAGGCTCTATAATGAAGGCACATTGGCTCTGATTAGGCAGTTTCCGGCCCTTGGACACTTACCGTGAGGGGTCCTTCTCCTCTGAGGACAGGAGGACATCTCCATTGGGTTATTCCCATCATTTCTTCAGGGAGGCAGGAAACACTTTTTTCTCCTTCCTTTTGGCGCCTTGGGAATAGCCCCGCCTCTCAGTTCGGG